AGAAAGATATACCCAGAGCTGGTCCTAGATAGAGCTTTAGATTATGAACAGGAAGCTGAACTCAGATTAACACTCACAGCACTGGATGGTGGATCCCCGCCCAAGTCTGGGACAACTTTGGTTCTCATTAAGGTGTTGGACATCAATGATAATGCCCCTGAGTTTCCTCAGAGTCTCTATGAGGTGCAAGTCCCCGAGGATAGACCCATTGGCTCCTGGATTGTCACCATCTCAGCTAAGGATCTGGATGCAGGAAACTATGGGAAAATATCTTACACATTTTTCCATGCATCAGAAGATATTCGTAAAACATTTGAAATTAATCCAATATCTGGGGAAGTTAATTTGAGATCACCCCTGGATTTTGAAGTGATACAGTCCTACACTATAAATATTCAGGCAACAGATGGTGGGGGTCTTTCAGGAAAATGCACCCTTCTAGTTAAAGTTATGGATATAAACGACAATCCACCAGAAGTGACCATATCATCGATTACAAAGAGAATTCCAGAGAATGCCTCAGAGACTCTAGTAGCTCTTTTTAGTGTAGTAGACCAAGACTCTGGAGACAATGGGAGGATGATTTGCTCTATTCAAGATAACCTCCCCTTTTTCCTGAAACCGACCTTCAAGAACTTTTTCACTCTAGTTTCTGAAAAAGCACTGGACAGAGAGAGCCAAGCAGAGTACAACATCACGATCACCGTCACAGACTTGGGGACCCCCAGGCTGAAAACCGAGTACAACATAACCGTGCTGGTCTCCGACGTCAATGACAACGCTCCCGCCTTCACCAGAACCTCCTACACCCTGTTCGTCCGCGAGAACAACAGCCCCGCCCTGCACATCGGCAGCGTCAGCGCCACAGACAGAGACTCAGGCACCAACGCCCTGGTCACCTACTCGCTGCTGCCGTCCCAGGACCCGCACCTGCCCCTCGCCTCCCTGGTCTCCATCAACACAGACAACGGCCACCTGTTCGCCCTCCGCTCGCTGGACTACGAGGCCTTGCAGGAGTTCGAGTTCCGCGTGGGCGCCACAGACCGCGGGTCCCCGGCGCTGAGCAGCGAGGCGCTGGTGCGCGTGCTGGTGCTGGATGCTAACGACAACTCGCCTTTCGTGCTGTACCCTCTGCAGAACGGCTCCGCTCCCTGCACCGAGCTGGTGCCCCGGACGGCCGAGCCGGGCTACCTGGTGACCAAGGTGGTGGCGGTGGACGGCGACTCGGGCCAGAACGCCTGGCTGTCGTACCAGCTACTCAAGGCCACGGAGCCCGGGCTGTTCGGTGTGTGGGCGCACAATGGCGAGGTGCGCACCGCCAGGCTGCTGAGCGAACGTGAGGCGGCCAGGCATAGGCTGGTGGTGCTGGTCAACTACTGGTGGACGGCTTCTCGCAGCCCTACCTGCCTCTCCCTGAGGCGGTCCCCGCCCAGGCCCAGGCCGACTCGCTCACCGTCTACCTGGTAGTGGCATTGGCCTCAGTGTCGTCGCTGTTCCTCTTGTCGGTGCTCCTGTTCGTGGCGGTGCGGCTGTTCAGGAGGAGCAGAGCTGCCTCGGTGGGTCGCTGCTCGGTGCCCAAGGGCCCCTTTCCAGGACATCTGGTGGACGTGAGCGGCACCGGGACCCTATCCCAGAGCTACCAGTACGAGGTGTGTCTGACAGGAGGTTACGGGACAAATGAGTTCAAATTTCTGAAGCCGATTATCCCCAATTTTCAAGTTCATGACACTGGTAAGAATATGGGGGAAATTGAGAACTTTCGAAATAGCTTTGGATTTAACATAGAATAAAACAATTTATTTTAAATTTCTAATTTTTAGTTATTTTTTGCAAGCTGATGGTACTTTTTGCATAATCTTTTGTGGATTTTTGGTTGTATTGTAGTTGCATGCATGATTATAGCTCTTGTTTTTCTCACAGTTTCTTTAAAAATCTTTATTAGTGGCTATAATGACATGGAAATGTAATCTGTGTTTTCTGGTTTTTCATTTATTTGGTCAAAATGTTATATTAATGGAGTTATTGCTATTTTTGCTGTGATAATGGTATCGTTGTGTAAGACAATGTTCTCAATTATTTGGATATGCAAACTAAAGTATTAAGAGCTAATGTCATTATATATGTAACTTAAATCTAGACACCATCAAAACATAAAGTAAAAATAAAAAGTGTTGCTGAATCTGGGTCGAAAATATAGTGCATTTATCACACTATTCTCTCTGAAAATGTTCTTTAAAAAGGATAAAAAAGATGCTATCCCTCCATTTTCAGTTCTGGAGAACCTTATAAGTTTTTCAAATATTTACTTTATGATGAAACTTAAGTGGTCACATTGGAAATTATTAATTTCTTAAGTAATTTTTTCTGTAACTACTTTTGTTGATAATCCTGTTGTGGAGGAAGAGTCTTATAATGCTCTGGGCTTTGCTGTCACTCTTTAGTTTTCTTAATTTAATTTTATTTATTTATGTTTTTTGAGACAGGGTCTCATTCCATTGCCCTGGCTGGAATGCAGTGGCACTGTCATGGCTCACTGCAGCCTTGACTTCCTGGGTTCAGGTGATTCTCCTGCCTCAGACTCCTGAGTAGCTGGGACCAGTGGCACAGGCGACCATAGCCCGGCTAATTCTTTTGTAATTTTTTTGTACAGACGGAATATTGCCATGTTTTCCAGTCTGGTCTGGAACTCCTTGGCTCAAGAGATCTGCCCACCTTAGCTAGTCTTTTGTCTTTGTTTTTTGAGATAAAGTCTCACTTTGTTGCCCAGGCTAGAGTGTAGTGGCAGGACCTTGGCTCACTGCAGCCTTGACATCCTGGGCTCAAGAAATCCTCCTGCTTCAGCCTACTAAATAGCTTGAACTACAGGCACCCGCCATGACGCCCAGCTAAATTTTTGTATATGTGGTAGAGATGGAGTTTTGCCATGTGGCCCAGGCTAGTCTGGAACTCCTGAACTCAAGTGATCCACCTGCTTTGGCCTCCCAAAGTGCTAGGATTACAGGCATGAGCCATTACGCCCAGCCTAGTTTTCTTTAAATACACCCTATTTACTAGCTTAAATCTTGTATTGTTTATTTCTAAAGCAGAAAATAATTTAGGGTCTTATCCTGGGTAAAATAGCCTTCCATCAGATGAGTACAAAGCAAGAACTTCGTAAGAAATTGAAATGAAGATTCAAACTGTTAGTGAATTTGAAATATTTGAATTGGAAGAGACAAAATAAATCTAGGTAAAAAATATTCATATCATCTTAGTTTGGGTTTGGATTTCTTAACAAGGCTTTAAAGTACAAAAAAGAACAATACAAACTGATGAATATTACTGCCTCAAAATTAAATGATAGCACAGACAAACTAAAAGATGACAGTGAGAAGCCACCTGCAGTATTTTAACTGACAAGATTAATATTTACATTATTCAAATAACTCTTGCAAATCAACAACAACAAAGCCAGAGACACAATAGGATTTTTCAAGACAAAGGAAAAGGAAATTCAAAAAAAGGGAAAACAGAAAGTCTGAAAATAGCTTTAAATGAAGTTCAACCCTTTTAGTTGGTGAAACATACACTAAAATTAGTAAAGATGAGAGATTTGGGTAATATCAAGTGGAATAATAGGAAATCACATGTACAGCCTATTTAGAGACCTTTCTGATAGTATTTAGTAAAATTTAATATATATATGTACTCCACAATTCAGCAATTTTATTGGAGTGTATAAGCCAGAAAACTCTTACAGAGCTTTACAAAATGATGTATATAAGAATATTCATCTTGGGAAAATGAAGAATAGGACTCCACTTGCATATCTATCAGTAAAGCAATTGATAAAATGTGTAATATGTTAGTGAAGGATTATTATGCAGTGATCAAAAGGAGTTAGCTAGACATGTAATCACATGAATAAATCTCAAATGTTTTAAAAGAAAAAAGAGACAAAGATTTACAGTACAGTGATATACACAATATCTTATATTTATAGAAATATGCAAATATATTAATACACATTATGAAGGGAGAGAAGAGAGAATATAGGAAAGCTATTTATGTATATATAGAGGAACAAGGGGTATAGAAAGAAGTGAGAATGAATACCAATGTAAATGGCAGTTGTCTCTTCCAAGAGATTGTTTAAATTCATTATGTCATTGTAGAATTGATTTAGTATTGATCAGCTGAAGTTGTTTAAAAATACGTATTATTTCTGTTGCCTTCCAAAATAATCAGTTGCCCATAGAACATGAAAGCTAAGAGTTTACTTGTAATTTTTAGTTGCAACAATATCCCTGAGACTTCACATTTTTAACAAGGATGATAAAAATTATGTAGCACAATGATTTCACTGAAAACAATTAGCTATTAAGACATTAATACATTGTCAGGTTAGAGTTAATGTTAAAAGGAAACCCAGGGAGATAAACAAGTCCAAAATCTACTTTTTCCTAGGGAATCCTGGAAAACTTGAACCTCTGTTAATAAGCATGGACCCCTAAGAGCCAAACCCTTGGAGTGAGAGTAAACTGGAAATGCATGAGCCGTTGTGGGGAATTTCAGCCTTGAACTTGATTTTTAGCCTTTAACTTGATTTTTAGCCTTAAACTTGATTTAAGGTGATCATTGACAGGTAGTGCTCCAGGAACTGATAGAATCAAATGCAGATCTTTAATGAAATCTGACTTCTTATAGTGAATGTGAATGTGACTTCTTACAGTTTTGAATGTTTGAATGTTTATTCACTCTAAGCCTCAAATCATTCGTACAACTAGTTTTTTATGTTCTTAACATAAACAGTCGAAGATAAGTGCATACACAAGGGAACATGACACTATGAGTGACAGCCAGCAGAGAAAAGGAACATAAAAATAAACTTGTAAGCATTTCAAATATTGTAATTATCAGACACAGTCTATAATATGCTAGGTAATTTAATTGAAATAAAAGTTAAATTTGAAGGTGTACAAGGAAAAATACTGTAAAATTTGACAGATAAGAAAACAAATAGAACTCCTAGAAATGAAAAACTATAATGATCAAAATTTTAAACCAACTAGAAAATTTAATAGAAAATTAGATACAGCTAAACAAATAATTACTGAATAGAAAGATAGACAAGGATATAATTTATCCAATATGTAGGTCATGAAGTTGATAAGATGAAAAATACAGAAGAGAATATTAGAAACAGAGGACAAAGTAAAAAAGCTTAACATATATTTAACCAGAACCCAAGGAGATAAGAGAAAAATTGTATCAGAAGCAATAGTTAAAGAAATAATAATTTGAATTCTTCAAAATTGATGAAACCATCAATAAGCAGATTTAAGAGACCTAAATAAACCTAACAGGATAAATTTTAAAAGATATTCATATCTAGAAACATTATATTGAAAGCTCAGAAAACCAAAGAAAGAGAGAAATCTTTTTTTCAAAAGCCATGGGAAGAGGACATTGAACCCTCAAACACATGACAGACTGACAGCTATGCTCCATGTTTCTCAACAGTAGCAATGGAAAATAATAGAAAGGTATCTTTAGTGTACTGAAGGAAGTTAGCAAACCTTTCTACCTAAATGATCTTTGCATGTAAGAGCCATTAAATGAGAGTATGAAATCAACTTGGTATCAGTTTAATTTTAAATTATTCCAGATGATAAGAAAGAAGTAGTGTAAAGGCATTTCATCTCTTAAATGTGACTTCTTTTAATTTTCTTCTTTGCCCATCCCTTGCAACAATTCTGAGTCCAAGAGTTTGACCTACTTCTGTTTCTAGCCTTCTTCATCTCTAATGACACTCACTTCTACTCTAACCTAGTCACCTATAATCATGGCCTCTCTCTGGAGATGGTAGTCTCTGAAAACTACGTCATGTCTGAAGTCACAAATTCAAATATACTTCTTTTAATCTGCAATGTATTATCTTTCTTGAAGAGATTTAATCACCATTTATGCCAATAAATCCCAAATGTGACTCTATAGCCCAAATGTCTTTCCTCAACTACATTTATGTAATAGAAGCTAATTTATATAACTATCTATATGGATGCTCAAACTCAACAGTTTTAAGTTAAAATTGTTCCCTTCCTCAAAACTAAATATACCTTCTCCAGTTCCATATCTGTTCCTCTTTCTTCTGCTCTTTCTGTGTTTATTAGTTAATAGAACCAACAGTCACTCAGTTGCCTAAGCCTGAAGACAAAGTACATTTACCTTCATGCCTTTCTAACCCACTCCTTCTATGTTTATCACCATATACCCTATTGTTTTATCATTCTAATACAACCCCTTCACTGCATTTCTAGTTGAGGCCAATGTTTTCTCTTACTTGTATTATTGCAACCATTTGTAATCAATCTCTCACCTTTAATCTTATTCCTCTCTAATTTATTCTCAACTCTGAAACAGGATAATGTTTTTAAAAAGTAGAAACATAATCATGTCACTTTTCTGTTTTAATTATAATCCCTTTAATAACCCTACATTTCTACTGACGTAAAGTCCAAATTCCTTGACATAGTTACAAAATATTTTCTTATCTTTCCAATTTCAACTCTTACCATTTCTCTCCTCTTGATCTATGCCTTAGCCATATTGATTTTATTTTATTTCTTCCAAATATTTCTCTTTATTTGGATTTGCACAATCTTGTTTTTAGTTTTCCTGAAAAATTTTACCCCATAACCAATTTTTGTTTAAAGTACTCCTACTGATTTTTAATGTATCACTTTAGAATATACTTTCTCCAGAAAAATTTGTCTTGTATTTCCAAATTCTGGTTAGATAACCATCATCTATGCCCTTGTAGTAGCATGAACTTTCTTTATCATGACATTCATTGTGTTCTATTTAAAATATATGGTCATTTTTCTGTCTCCCTCTTGCGTGGCAGAAACTATGTCTGTTTACCATTCTATCTCGAACACTTATGACCATTCCTTGCACAAAGTATATTCTCAATAACTATCTGCTAAACTAATTAATTAATAGATAGATAGACATACTTAGAATTGTGCCTATGGAAAGCCTGGGTCTGCAAATGATGAAATTCAGTTTCACAACTAAACTGAGGTCTAATTTGTTCACATTTAAAAAAATGTTTAACTGGACTTGCTCTTACATTAAAAACCAGAAATGTTTTACTTTACTCACTACTTTTGAGCATTTATTTTCTACTCCTGCCAGCTAAGTCTCCTACTGAGTATCCCTAAATAAATGGTACCATTTATGCAGCTCAAAATGTCCAACCTTTCCAAAGCAACTGTTTTCGTATACCAGGTTCATTTTCAAGTAGATGATCTCATTCCTCTTTTCTGACTAGTTGTGGAGACAGCTAAGACCTCTAATTCTCATTTCCAATTTTCCTAAAAATCTCTTGCCTACTAAGTCAATTACATGTGAGAGTATTCTTCACTATCTTTAGTTGTTTAATATATTGTCTTCACAGAGAGATCATAACTCGTTTGAGGCAGGGGCTACATCTTAAATATGCTTCTTACATCTATACCACAGCTGTAGCAGATTGTGGCTGATGATGGAAAGGTAATAGCATCACATATCACAAAAATGCAACTCGGAAAATAGGCATATAGGAGGAGAATATAATTTAAATTTATTGACAAACACTCAAGAAAAACTAATATTTTGTCTGAAACATATTGGAATTTATCTAAAACCTGAAAGTCTGCAGAGTCGCATGGTGGCGCTGCAGGATAAGATGGTGAATTTTTTGTAACAGCAGATGCTCTGGTTTCCCTTAACCATGGGAACTGAAAGCGCTGGGAAACCAGAAGAAAAGAGGCTTTCAAAAGGTAGGGCACCATCAACACCTTCGCGACAGGATTACGAGTTTCTAGATTCCCAAAGGTCCAGGCTGACAGGTGAGAGGAGCAACTTTAACAGCTGCTAGAGACTGAGTTGAAACGTTTTCGCCAGAAAGACGTTTGGCTAAGAAGCCATGGAGCCGGGAAAGGGAAGAGCTCAGCGGACAAGGCAAGTGCTGCTTTTCTTTGTTTTCCTGGGAGGGTCTTTGGTGTGTTCTGAGACCTGGAGCTATTCCACAGCAGAGGAAATGGAGGTCGGCACATTTATAGCCAACGTGGTGAAAGACATGGGTTTGGATGTGGAAGACCTGGTTGCACGGGGCGCCAGAGTCATCTTTGACGACTATAAACCTTATTTGCGATTGGATCCACAAAATGGCGACTTGCTCTTAAACGAGCAGCTGGACCGGGAGGCACTTTGTGATCTCACAGAGCCTTGTATATTGCATTTCCAGGTGTTATTTGAAAATCCGTTGCAATTTTTTCGGGCTGAGCTTTTGGTCAAAGACATAAATGATCACACTCCCACGTTCCTAAATAATAATATACTTCTAAAAGTCTCCGAAGGTACTACTCTAGGAACTGTATTCCAAATAGATAGTGCTCAGGACTTGGATGTGGGAAAGAATGGTGTTCAAAACTATACAATAAGTCCCAATCCCTATTTCCACCTTAAATTACGACACAGTGATGAGGGCAGAAAATATCCAGAATTGGTACTGGACCAATCCCTGGATCGAGAAAAGGAGTCTGAGCTTAGTTTAACGCTAACAGCCGTGGATGGCGGGTCTCCGCCCAGGTCTGGGACTACACTGATTAACGTTGTGGTCCTGGACGTCAATGACAATGCCCCTGAATTTGAGAAGCCAGTCTATGAAGTTCATGTACCTGAGAGCAGCCCTCTGGACTCCTTGATCATCAAAGTGTCTGCTACAGATTTAGATGCAGGAATAAATGGAGAACTGTCTTATTCATTTTCCCATGTCTCCAGAGATGTACGGAAAACATTTGAAATCCATCCAATTGCTGGCGAAGTCTATTTAAAAGCACCTCTAGATTTCGAGATTATTCAATCTTACATCATAAACATTCAGGCCATTGACAGTGGGAGCCTTTCTGGAAAATCAAACATTTTAGTTCGGGTTGTAGATGTGAATGACAACCCGCCAGAAATAGCCATGACATCTCTTACCAGCCCCATACCGGAAAACTCTTCACCTGAGATGGTGGTCGCTGTCTTCAGCATACGAGACCAAGACTCTGGAGACAATGGGAGAATGGTTTGCTCAATTCAGGACAACCTCCCCTTTGTCTTGAAGCCTACCTTCAAGAATTTTTACTCTCTGGTAACAGAGCACCCACTGGACAGAGAGATCAGAAATGAATATAACATTACCATCACCGTGACCGACTTGGGGACACCCAGGCTGAAAACCGAGCACAACATAACTGTGCTGGTCTCCGACGTCAATGACAACGCCCCCGCCTTCACCCAAACCTCCTACACTCTGTTCGTCCGCGAGAACAACAGCCCCGCCCTGCACATCGGCAGCGTCAGCGCCACAGACAGAGACTCAGGCACCAACGCCCTGGTCACCTACTCGCTGCTACCGTCCCAGGACCCTCACCTACCCCTCCCCTCCCTGGTCTCCATCAACGCAGACAGTGGCCACCTGTTCGCCCTCAGGTCGCTGGACTACGAGGCCCTGCAGGAGTTCGAGTTCCGCGTGGGCGCCACAGACCGCGGCTCCCCGGCGCTGAGCAGCGAGGCGCTGGTGCGCGTGCTGGTGCTGGACGCCAACGACAACTCGCCCTTCGTGCTGTACCCGCTGCAGAACGGCTCCGCGCCCTGCACAGAGCTGGTGCCCCGGGCGGCCCAGCCGGGCTACCTGGTGACCAAGGTGGTGGCAGTGGACGGCGACTCGGGTCAGAACGCCTGGCTGTCCTACCAGTTGCTCAAGGTCACGGAGCCCGGGCTGTTCGGTGTGTGGGCGCACAATGGCGAGGTGCGCACCGCCAGGCCGCTGAGCGAGCGCGACGGGGCCAAGCACAGGCTGGTGGTGCTGGTCAAGGACAATGGCGAGCCTCCGCGCTCGGCCACCACCACGCTGCACGTGTTCCTGGTGGACGGCTTCTCCCAGCCCTACCTGCCTCTCCCAGAGGCGGCCCCGGCCCAGGCCCAGGCCGACTCGCTCACCATCTACCTGGTGGTGGCGTTGGCCTCGGTGTCGTCGCTCTTCCTCTTGTCGGTGCTCCTGTTCGTAGCGGTGCGGCTGTGCAGGAGGAGCAGGGCGGCCTCGGTGGGCCGCTGCTCGGTGCCCGAGGGCCCCTTTCCAGGACATCTGGTGGACGTGAGCGGCACCGGGACCCTATCCCAGAGCTACCAGTACGAGGTGTGTCTGACAGGAGGCTCCGGGACAAATGAGTTCAAGTTCCTGAAGCCGATAATTCCCAATCTGCTGCCCCGGGACAGCGAAATGGAGAAAGCCCCACCTTTCTGAATGGCATGGAATTCAATTAGGGATCTGATTATGATGCAGAACTTTTAGAATGAGTCTATTTCTTTGAAATCTTTTTGTTATTTAGAGTTTTTCATTTTGGGTAACTGCATTTTATTCAAGAGTTTTCAGAAGTTACAAGAATTTAAGACTATTTTTTGTTGTTTTAATCGTGAAAAAATTGAAAGCTGGAATTTACTTAGTCATTGTTTTGAAATACAACCTCAAATAATATGTTCACATACACATTATTTTCCCTTCAAGTTTAATTGCACACTGGGCTCATTCCTATTTTCTGAGTGTTCTGACTGTGGATCCTCTAACCAAAGCAGTTTTTATATGATTGAGAATATTATTATAGAAGTAAATGCATGATATTAACAAAAACATAATTGCTTGTTATCTGGTTAGGTTGGTTTCTAAGATGTTATCTAATTTAGGTTTCTTTTTTCATTCTACTTTTTTCATTCTACTTTTCTGGCAAACATTGCAGAGAATGTTTCCTCTACTGAGGGTTTTTTTTTTTTTTTCATAATTATGTGTGAACCATATATATGCTAGTAGATGTTGTTTTATTTAAATATATTCAAAACCTTGTTTGGATTAAGATGTATATATCCAGCTCATGCTCCTTTCTTGTCTGAGAACTTCTCTATACTACCCAAGACAGGCGATCACTAGTGTGATGCTTATTCCATTGCAGGCCTTCTTTTCTTACACCTCCCCCCCCCATATATTTTTTAAGGAGTGGGGTCTTGCCATGTCACATGGGCTAGTCTTGAACTCCTGGGCTCTAGTAATCCTACCACATCAGCTTCCCAAAGTGTTGGGATTATAGGCAAGAGCCCTGATCACTTTTTATTGGTCCTGTGATAGATTCCTAATTTAAGCTGGAATAGCTACATTCTCCAAACCCCTAAATTTGTGATTGAGATATAGTTCATCTACTTTTTCCTCTTGAATAAATGTTGAACGTGTGCTGAGGTAGCCATGTTTATAAGTTTCTAGATAGAGAGAAAAAGAGGGAGAGAAAATGGAAGGAAAGTAAAAGCGAAAAGGAATAAGAGTGGAGAAGGCAGAAGCCTAGAAAACAGTAGAGACTAAAATAGCTACTTAGTTCTAGACCTGTCCACCTAAGTTCAGTTCCTCCTAAGTCCCCAATGTTTAATTGCCCTTGGGTTCTACAGTAAGACTCCATTGCTAATAGTAAAATTCCTTTGTTTAACCTATCTTGAAGTGGGATTTCTTGAAATCAGAAGAGACTTGAAAGGTTTGTACAACCTTGAGTACTCAATTAGACTATCTACCTTGAAACCCTGGTCTTTTATTGCATGCTTCTAATGTTAACTTAATGAATGAAATACAGGATGTACAAGCCTAGAGATAACAAATATATACTAGAGGCTTATGTAATAAAATTTAAATTTGTAAATAATTTATGAGGTCTTTCAACAGAAAAATGCTACAAAGGGCTTTATGAAATGTCTCATTAACTTAACTTTCCCTCCATTATTTTATATGTCCCAGGATTACTTTTAAATAATACTTTTAGTTTAAATAATGATAATAACACTAGAATTGTTAAGTTTTAGGTTTCTGTACCTTTTCTCAGGATCATCATACCTTCCTTAGCAGACTCTTTCTTTTAAAAATTGCTTGTTAAGCTCAGCGTGAACAAAATTATTTTTGTCATGTAATGTAAAATCTTCTTGCTCCATAAATAATCCCAATTTATGGATAATATGGATTGACTCATGATTTCAGTTATAGTAATAAACATTTAATTAATATACCCTATTGCTAGAAAACCTCATGAAAAAATTTAAGTTTCTGCCAAGCCTAGGAGCTAAGATCTTAGAAAGGAGAAACTTTAACCAAGAGAAGAAAGATGGGAATGAAAAACTAACTTTGATCCATTAGGTTACTGACATAGGTACAAGCTTCTATCCCATTAATATTAAAAAATGCATAGACATTCAGGACGCATTTTCTTGGACACATAATAGTGAATTTGGATCCATGACCAATATATTTCTATAAGGAAAATTGTCCATCAGATTTTGACTGTGACTGGCATGTTCTCATATTTTGAAAGTTTAATCAAATTTGTTTGTATAGAAGAAAACATTCTAAAGTAGAATGTTGATTTGAGCTATTTATACCTTAAGAGAAACCAGTATAAACCACAATTCTTACACTTGGCTCATCCTTAGTTTTCTCAGTTAGCTAGGTAATTAGAATACCAGAACACATAATAGTGTATATTATTTAAACATTGTGAGTAGAACATTGGTTAAAGTTGGCAGAGTTGGGAAGACCCCCAAGTCTCCTCCCCGAAAATGTTTTCTCTTTCCTTAGAAGTAAGAATTTCAGTTCCATGCTAGGGTTTCAGGATTCCAATGAATCCACAAGAGATATATGATTGCTTACTAAAAATGAGTTGAGATCTTCTCCAGTTGGGAATATGCTTAACCTGCTATTTCAGGTGAACTTAACATATTTTCTTCTGCATTTTACTTTTTACTTTAACTTCAGCCTTTATATCCATGATCTTAGCTGTCTCCCTCTTAAAGGTTTCAGTGACTCTCAGCTTCAACATGTGTGTATCTCATTATTAACAATAGATGGTGATGCTCTTTACAAATTATTTTAGATACCGTAACAATTCAACATAGCAAGCTCACAGTCCTTAGACAATATTCACAAATAAGTTATCCACAACTCCTTAAGCTACCTATTGAGTTTGCATAATAAACCAGCTTTAGCTAGTATATCACTTAAGTTCATACCCCTGAAGTATTAGAATGAATCTCTTCATCTACTGGGCTAGCAGTCATTAGACCCATCAAAGAGAAGAGGCTTTCTTAACAGAAAATTGCGTTGTGGCAAGGATTGATTCCCAGAGCAGACTGCCTACTGACCCAACATAGGCATCCAGACCCTGAATGCTGTTGGTGTTGGAGAAATGGAGCTGAAAAGGAGCATTTTCCTAGAATAAGGCAAGTGCTGCTTCTCTTTGTTATGCTGTCTCAGACTTGCGCGGAGCGGAATGTTTATACTGTAGCAAAAGAAACAGAACGCGGTTCTTTTGTGGCCAATGTAGCAAAGGACCTAGGGCTAGAAGTAAGAGAAATATCCCGGCAGAGGGCTCGGGTCATTTTTAACAGTAACAAAAAAATATTTTCAGCTGAACCTTCAGACTGGAGACCTGCAAGTAAATGAGAAACTGAATGAGGAAGAATTGTGTGACCTCACTGAGCCTTGTGTGCTGCAATTCCAAGTGTTACTGGAAGAACCTTTGGAGGTATATAGGTTTAAACTTTTGGTCAGTGACATAAACGACAATTCCCCTGTATTCCCAGAAGTAGAAATTATTTTGAAAATCATGGAAAATACTCCTCCAGGAACTGTGTTTCCTCTGAAAAACACACAAGATTTGGATGTGGGCATCAATAACACTCAAAACTACACCATCAACCCCAACTCCCATGTCCACGTTCTCACCCAAAATGGCAGTGAAGGCAGAAAATACCCAGAGCTGGTTCTAGACAAAGCCCTGGATCCGGAGGAGCAGGCTGAGTTCGGGTTAACTCTCATGGCAGTAAATGGCGAGGCTTCTCCCAGAACTGGAACTGCTCTGGTCCTCCTTGAAACCTTGGACATCAATGGCAATGTGCTTGAGTGTGTGCTGTCACTCTATCAGGTGCAGATATCAGAAAACAGCCCCCTGGAATCCCTTGTTGCCACTGTTTCCGCTAGAGATTTAGACATGGGAATTAATGGTGAAATATTCTACTCACTTTTTATGGTGATGAAGAGATTTCTAAGACATTTGCACTTAATGAACGAACGGGAGAAATTAAAATGATCAGAAAATTAGATTTTGAAAAAATTGTGTCATATGAGGTGGATATTAAAGCCTGTGATGGGGCAGGTCTTTATGGAAAATGCGCCATCATAATACAGGTGGTAGATATCAACGATAACGCTCCAGAACTGACCATGGCTTCATTTACAAGCCCCATCCGCGAAAATTCTCCCGAGATGTGGTAGCTCTTTTCAGCATTCCAGACCGAGATTCTGGGGAAAATGGAAGAATAGTTTGCGTAATTCAAAATGATGTTCCGTTCATGCTGAAACCTTCCGTTGAGAATTTCTACTGGCTGTTAACAGAAGGACTACTGGACAGAGAGTTTAGAGCCGAGTACAACTCACCATCACAGCCTTGGACTAGGGAACGCCTAGGCTGAAAACCGAGTACAACATAACTGTGCTGGTCTCCTACGTCAATGACAACGCTCCCGCCTTCACCCAAACCTCCTACATCCTGTTCGTCAGCTAGAACAACAGCCCCGCCCTGCACATTGGCAGCGTCACCGCCACAGGCACCAACACCCAGGTCACACACTCGCTGCTGCCGCCACCGAACCCGCACCTGCCCCTTGCCTCCCTAGTCTCCATCAACACAGAAAACGGCCACCTGTTTGCCCTCCGGTCGCTGGACTACGAGTCTCTGCAGGGGTTCGAGTTCCGCGTGGGCGCCACAGACCGCGGCTTCCTGGCGCTGAGCAGCGAGGCGCTGGTGCGCGTGCTGGTGCTGGACGCCAACGACAACTTGCCCTTCGTGCTGTACCCGCTGCAGAACGGCTCCGCGCCCTGCACAGAGCTGGTGCCCCGGGCGGCCGAGCCGGGCTACCTGGTGACCCAGGTGGTGGCGGTGGATGGCGACTCGGGCCAGAACGCCTGGCTGTCGTACCAGCTACTCAAGGCCACGGAGCCCGGGCTGTTCGATGTGTGGGCACACAATGGCAAGGTGCACACCGCCAGGCTGCTGAGCGAGAGCGACGTGGCCAAGCACAGGCTGGTGGTCCTGGTCAAGGACAAGGGCGAGCCTCCGCGCTCGGCCACCGCCACGCTGCACGCGCTCCTGGTGGATGACTTCTCCCAGTCCTACCTGGCGCTCCCAGAGGCGGCCCCAGCCCAGGCCCAGGGCGACTTGCTCACCGTCCAGCTGGTGATGGCGTTGGCCTTGGTGTGGTCGCTCTTCCTCTCTCAGTGCTCCTGTTCGTGGCGGTGCGGCAGTGTAGGAGGAGCAGGGTGGCCTCGGTGGGTCGCTGCTCGGTGCTCGAGGACCCCTTTCCAGGCATCTGGTGGACATGAGCAGCACCAGGACTCTATCCCAGAGGTACCAGTATGAAGTGTGTCTGACTGGAAGCTCCCCAACAAATGAGTTCAAATTCCTGAAGTCTGTTATCCCTAAGCATCCGGGCGCTCTGAATGACGGTAGGATAAGTCCAACTTTGTAAATGGTTTTGGATTCAATTAAGAATCTGTATATTTTTCAGAGCATTAAGGATAAAGGTTAGTTCTTTATCAATATATTAAGTCTCTGTTATGTTTTTTGTTCTATATAGATTTTCTAAGATTTTGCTGCTTTCATTTTCCTAGTTAAGATTAGACATTTTCTTTGATTATTTGTTCATACTTAGTCTCCTTTTATCATGTCCATTTTGATGAATACAACTTTCAAGTTTACTCACTAATGAAAAGTCATATTTGTTCAATTTATCAACTTTTCAAAATCACAGGCTGTTGATTTGAAGATTCCAGCCCCATTCTGTTTCATTAAAGAAAGCTTTTCTAAACTTTTGATGCTTAGAAGACAAGAACAATGATATAGTGATTATTAGTACATACTCTGTTTAATCTGTCTTATGCTTACCTGTCTTGAATTTTTAAATGGAGAAGTGTCTGCAAAAATTGGTTTTATTTCACAATAGCATGATGTGGGAAAGACTACATTTTTTCCCAAACTTAAAGACTTTTCTGCTCTTTTAATAACCTCTATTATATAACATATATAAGCATTAGTATTATTATTATTGAGACAGAGTTTCACTCTTGTCGCCCAGGCTGGAGTGCAATGGCGCAATCTCGCTCACTGCAACCTCGCTTCCCCGGTTCAAGTGATTCTCCTGCCTCAGCCTCCCAAGTAGCTGGGATTACAAGCCCCTTGTTTTAGTAGAGATGGGGTTTCACCATGTTGGCCAAACTCAAAGTGGCTCCTGGAGTTTGGCTGGTCTCAAACTCCTGACCTCAAGTGATACACTCGTCTCTGCCTCCCAAAGTGTGGGATTACAGGCATGAGCCACCTCGCCCCGCCATATGAGCATTATTTAATGATTATTAGATTATCTCAAGATTTAAAAAATCATAGCTCCCTTTTGTAGTGTCTATCTAGCCCACCTGATCTTTTTCTGGAAACTTCTCCCTGTCTTTAGCAGAAGTGTAATGTTGCAGCCACATTTATTTTATATGACCCAACTCCCTCTGTGATTTCAAACACAAAAATAAGATGATCTTAGCTGGCCTAATCTGATTCTCTCTATTTAAAAAAAAAATGGCTTTAGAAACCAGATACAATATAGTCTCTTTGTTAGGAACATAACCAGAAAGTGGTGTCATATCTGGCTAAACATCTGAAAAGAAATACAGGACATCAATCTACTGAGAGACAAGAAAAAAGAAGATATCAAAAGAATGACCTTGTTGTAGATTTTCCTGTTTTATATTTTCCAGTCCCTCCCAAGTCTGCTTTTCCCTTGGGTTTTTGGAGACAAATATGTGCTCTTTAATAAATTTCCTCTAATTAAGAGACCTAAGTGAGGTTTTTGTTGTCAAAAGCATATTAGATATTCTTGCATTGTTGGTAAGTCAGACCTTTCTTACTATTAAGTTTTCATTGTGGCTTTTCATATTAATATGACAACATTTGGGATCAAGGAGGTTGTAAAATATTAGTAGTCTGTAAGGGGCATGCACTAGGTTTTCTAGAATATATAATTTTGAAAAAAACTGAAGGATCTTTCCAATGGTACAGTCTTTGAAATGTTTAATAGAAAGTCCTAGAAAATTTTATTATATGAGTGTTTTGAATATCATAAGTGTCATAATAACATTACTGTAAAAAAAACCTTGACAATGAAAAATGTGTGTCTAAAAGAGACATAATCATTATATTTAGGGTCATGATAATCTTGTTATGGTGTTTCTTTCTATTATATAATATATCCCTTGCTTATGGGTAGCTAGGTTATTTTGCCACTTAATGAAATGACATTTTAGGCCATTCTGAGTTACTTCTCGTTACTATTTAAAGGGCATAGGAAATACCTACCTTATGAACATGCTGTCTTTGTTTATCCATCTTATATAATGGACTTGAATCCCAGCAGAAGAGGGGACTTCTACAGTAGGAGGAGAACTTGTCAGCATTTTTTAATTAATTGTGATTCATTGATGTATCTATTTAACAAATATTTATTGAGCACCTATCGTGTGCCGGGGATTATTTTAGATATTGGCGATGCAGCAGTGAACAAAATGAAGTTCTAACACGTGAGATTGAAACAGAAAGGAAACAATGAAATGAGTACATCTATACTACGTCTGATGATAATAAATCTGAGAGAGACAAGGCAGGGCCAGGTACAGCAACTCGTGCCTATAACCTCAGCACTTTGGGAGGCTGTGGCGGGAGGATTTCTTGAGCTCAGAAATTTGAGACCAGCCTGGGCAACATAGCAAGACCTCATCTTCACAAATAATTAAAACATTAGCCAGGCATGGTGATGCGCAACTGTGGTCCCAGCTACAGTTGCTGAGGTGGGAGGATCGCTTGAGCCTGGGCAGCTGAGGCTGCAACGAGCAGTGATTGTGCCACTGCATTCACTACTGGGCAATAGAGCAAGATCCCATCTCAAAAAAAAAAAAAGAAAAAGAAAAAGAAAAAAAAAGAAAAAGCAAAGTAAGAGATATAGGAAGTGCCTTCATATGTTTTTTTCCACAGTTTAAAATTTTCATAAAATCGTAACTCTCTGACTTTATGTAGAAAGGCTATCACCCTGGAATGAACATGTAGCTTTTTCTTGATGTAATTCAACCAATGGGAGCACAATTCTGGTACACAGGCTGTCTAGAACTTGAAAGAAATCAAAGAATTCATTTTGTTTTGATGAGAAAATGTTAAGAAATCACGTGGCTATGGGTTATTATTATTATAAGATGACTGATCCCTATTATGTCTTCTTTCACTTCTCAATTTCCCTCAGAGCACCCCACCCAGACTACAGGCTCTGGACGGTGGGGACCATGTCTGGGTTGTTTACTGATGCGTATCATAATTTGGCACATAGAGACCAAAAATACCCCTTTGAATGAAGAAATTAATAATTATAATTGCGTGATATTGTGATTACATCATTTTCTCCCATTTTCCAAACTCCTAATAGAATGGAGAATAGATCAATTGTAGCAATTCGTTTCGAAGTAAAGACAACGCATGGTGGCGCTGCAGGCTAAGGCTTCAAAAAAAGGAAACGAAGCCCATGAAATGCTACGAGCTACTTCAGACCTCTTCCAGCCTAAGGGGGAAGTCCGTTAGCAGAGCACGGACCAGTGTCTCCGGAGAATGCTATTCTCCTACATTTCCGGACAGGTTATCAACGGGCAGATCGATCACTGCCTCTGTCCCATCGCTCCCTGAAGTAGCACTGACTCCGATTCCTTGAAAGGGAGGTGTGCAGAAGTAAAGATGGAGCCTACAGGGGAGCGCTTTCCTGAACAAAGGCAAGTCCTGATTCTTCTTCTTTTACTGGAAGTGGCTCTGGCAGGCTGGGAACCCCGTCGCTATTCTGTGATGGAGGAAGCAGAGAGAGGTTCTTTTGTGGCTAACCTGGCCAATGACCTAGGGCTGGGAGTGGGGGAGCTAGCTGAGCGGGGAGCCCGGGTAGTTTCTGAGGATAATGAACAAGGCTTGCAGCTTGATCTGCAGACCGGGCAGTTGATATTAAATGAGAAGCTGGACCGGGAGAAGCTGTGTGGCCCCACCGAGCCCTGTATAATGCATTTCCAAGTGTTACTGAAAAAACCTTTGGAAATATTTCGAGCTGAACTACTAGTGAGAGACATAAATGATCATTCTCCTGAGTTTCCTGAAAGAGAAATGACCCTGAAAATCCCAGAAACTAGCTCCCTTGGGACTGTGTTTCCTCTGAAAAAAGCTCGGGACTTGGACGTGGGCAGCAACAACGTTCAAAACTACAATATTTCTCCCAATTCTCATTTCCATGTTTCCACTCGCACCCAAGGGGATGGCAGGAAATACCCAGAGCTGGTGCTGGACACAGAACTGGATCGCGAGGAGCAGGCCGAGCTCAGATTAACCTTGACAGCGGTGGACGGTGGCTCTCCACCCCGATCTGGCACTGTCCAGATCCTCATCTTGGTCTTGGACGTCAATGACAATGCCCCGGAGTTTGCACAGGCGCTCTACGAGGTGCAGGTCTCAGAGAACAGCCCAATAGGCTCCCTAGTTGTCAAGGTCTCTGCTAGGGATTTAGACACTGGGCCGAATGGAGAGATATCATACTCCATTTCTTACAGCTCTCAGGAGATAAACGAACCTTTTGAGCTAAGCAGCCTTTCAGGAGAAATTCGACTAATTAAAAAACTAGATTTTGAGACAATATCCTCATATGATCTAGATATAGAGGCATCTGATGGCGGGGGACTTTCTGGAAAATGCTCTGTCTCTGTTAAGGTGCTAGATGTTAACGATAACTTCCCGGAACTAAGTATTTCATCACTTACCAGCCCTATTCCCGAGAATTCTCCAGAGACAGAAGTGGCCCTGTTTAGGATTCGAGACCGAGACTCTGGGGAAAATGGAAAAATGATTTGCTCAATTCAGGATGGTGTTCCTTTTAAGCTAAAACCGACTGTTGAGAATTTCTACAGGCTGGTAACAGAAGGGGCGCTGGACAGAGAGAACAGAGCCCAGTACAACATCACCATCACCATCACAGACTTGGGGACCCCAAGGCTGAAAACCGAGCACTGCATAACCGTGCTGGTCTCCGACGTCAATGACAACGCCCCCGCCTTCACCCAAACCTCCTACACCCTGTTCGTCCGCGAGAACAACAGCCCCGCCCTGCACATCGGCAGCGTCAGCGCCACAGACAGAGACTCAGGCACCAACGCCCAGGTCACCTACTCGCTGCTGCCGCCCCAGGACCCGCACCTGCCCCTCGCCTCCCTGGTCTCCATCAACACAGACAACGGCCACCTGTTCGCCCTCCGATCGCTGGACTACGAGACCCTGCAGGAGTTCGAGTTCCGCGTGGGCGCCACAGACCGCGGGTCCCCAGAGCTGAGCAGCGAGGCGCTGGTGCGCGTGCTGGTGCTGGACGCCAACGACAACTCGCCCTTCGTGCTGTACCCGCTGCAGAACGGCTCCGCGCCCTGCACCGAGCTGGTGCCCCGGGCGGCCGAGCCAGGCTACCTGGTGACCAAGGTGGTGGCGGTGGACGGCGACTCGGGCCAGAACGCCTGGCTGTCGTACCAGCTGCTCAAGGCCACGGAGCCCGGGCTGTTCCGCGTGTGGGCGCACAATGGCGAGGTGCGCACCGCCAGGCTGCTGAGCGAGCGCGACGCGGCCAAGCACAGGCTGGCGGTGCTGGTCAAGGACAATGGCGAGCCTCCGCTCTCGGCCACCACCACGCTGCACTTGCTACTAGTGGACGGCTTCTCCCAGCCCTACCTGCCTCTCCCAGAGGCGGCCCCGGCCCAGGCCCAGGCCGACTCGCTTACCGTCTACCTGGTGGTGGCGTTGGCCTCGGTGTCTTCGCTCTTCCTCTTGTCGGTGCTCCTGTTCGTGGCGGTGCGGCTGTGCAGGAGGAGCAGGGCGGCCTCGGTAGGTCGCTGTTCGGTGCCCAAGGGCCCCTTTCCAGGGCATCTGGTGGACGTGAGCGGCACCGGGACCCTATCCCAGAGCTACCAGTACGAGGTGTGTCTGACAGGAGGCTCTGAAAGTAATGATTTCAAGTTCTTGAAGCCTATATTACCCAATATTCTGAGCCAGGACTCTAGGAGGAAATCAGAATTTCTAGAATAATGTAGGTATTTGAAGCTTTCCTATCGTCTGTTAATTTTGTCTTCCTCACTTTTCACCTTAGTTTTTTTTAACCCTTTAGTAATCTTTAATTCTACTTTTTTTTAAAATTTCTACTATTGTCTTTAGTAATGTTACTTATTTCCTTGGCCTGGTTGTTAGATAATTAGTTTTCAAATTATTGTATTATTATAAATATTTTATATCAGGAAATTTCATATTTCTGAATAAATTAATAGTATTCATTCCCAAAGGGTAATATGAAAGTTAACCCCACCTAATAAACATAACTCTAATTTTGAAAGTACCTGTCACACTATATGACACTACATAAGAATATGATTTTTGAAGTTATATTTTAAAGTTTTTTTATAGTTTTTCTTATTTACACAGCTATGAGTTTTTGATAAAAGCTCAGGGTGTAATCATTTCATATTTATCCACGTGTAATTTATTCCAAGCTTCATATTTGGAGTTTTGTTTTTTCCAATAGGGAGCAACATGGATAATTTTAAGCTACTGTTTTCAAGATCACACTTATAAGCATCAGACTTTCATTCTAAAACACATATGTCATCTCATAAAAATATATCTGCATAATGTATTCTTTCTCATGTAAATTAACATAGAAAAGACTGATGGGTTCTTTCTTATTTCTATCTAACGTTATGATCCTATCGGGGGGCTAGACAGGCTTTCTAATACCCAGATTTCCTGTGTTTAAGGTGTTCCTATAAGGCCAATAGACACTAGGACCAACTAATTCATGTCCTGCAATTTCCTCTTGCCACAGCAGGAAAATCTTAATTGAGTCCCAAATTCTGGGCTTAGAGGAGCTTCCGATGGTACAGAATGCCAGCATCTACTTGTCTTTGGATGGTGGCATTATTCTGATTCATAAGGAATTTGAAAGAAATTACATTGTAGAACTAATATTAGTTAACCAAACAAAATTTATTAAAGGATATGTTAGTGAAGGAGTTAAATTATTTGAGGAAAAACTTCTGCTCTCTTGTCAGGACTTTTCTGTCTCCAGGAGCTTCTCAACTTTGCAGATACTCTAGAATCGTATTGCATGCAAAATAATGACTGCCAAGATGTTCCTGCCCTAATCCCCAGAACCTATGAATATGTTATATTGTAAAGAAATTAAGGTTCAAACGGAATTAAGGTTGCCAATCAGCTAAACTTAAAATAGGGAGACTGTCTTAGATAATCTGGGTGGGTCTATTTCAATCAGTGGAAAGGCCATAAAAGCAGAGTTGAGTCTTCCCTAAGATGAAAAAGAAATTTCATTTAAGGACAGCAGCTTCAGCTTATGCCCCAGAGTTCCAACCTGCCCCTCCTAACTGCCTGCTGTACAGATTTTGGACTTGTCTAGGCACCTTTCACAACTGAATAAGTCACTTCCTTGCAATAAACTGATTACCATACATCTCCTGCTGCCTGTTTCTCTGGCTGAACTTGAACACAGATTTTGATACCCGGAAGTGAAATGCTACTGTAATAAACACTTAAAATGTGCAAGTGGCTTCTGAATTGGAAAGTGGGCAGAGGCTGGAAGAACTTTGACAGGTATGACAGAAAAAGCCTCGCTTGCTTTGGACAGACTGTTAGTAGAAATACGTTGTCAACAAATCTGCTAGTAAGGACTCAGAATGAAGTGAGGAGCATGGTGGAGAAATATGTTGCCTTAGAGAATACCTACATCACTTTAAATAGATTGTGGGTAGAAATACGGATGTTAAAGTTTCTGCTGGTGAGGGTGCAGAAATGAGGAAGATATTATTGGAAATTGAAGAAAAGGGAATCGTTTTATATGGTGGGAGAAAACTTAGCTGAATTGTGTCCTGTAGTTATGTAGAAAGAACTTGTGAGCAATGAACTTGGGAGATTTCACTGAGATTTTCAGGCAAAGGGTTGAATGTACAGTCTGTTTTTTTTCTTGCTGCTTATAGTAAAATGTGAGAGGGAAAAGAATGAGAGGAATTAGATTGAGAGAAGAACTGTGAGGCAAAAAGGAAACAGGACTTGATGGTTGGGGAAATTCTCACCCTACTCAGACTACAAAAGATGTTAAAATCAGGAGATTCACTGCTAAGGATACATGTTCTGCAGAGAAAGCCACAGACATATCAGGACAACCTTTTACTAGTGCCTTGAAAGAATCAGGTAGTCAATCATACAGAAGTTCTTTGAAGAGACTAGGTACATGACATGGATATCTTCAGCCACATCAGCAGAAGCCAGGAATATAGACATAATTACTCAGGAAATAACTTCAAAGGAGTCTCTTGTTTAATAAATTGAATCCCTGTGAAATGCACAAGAAATAAGGTTATTGAGAATGTTTAATCAGCAGAAACACTGCCGGCTTGAACTGAAAGGGATAGAGAGAACTAACTAAAGAAGGATGTGGTACTCCCCCTCTCCAAATTCTGTAAGCAAGAAATAGACTGATAAAACTGCTTAGCTAAAAACATGTGCCAATTCAAATGAAAAAGGAAGGATGGTTCAGAGGATGGAGCCTGAAGTCCAGAGAGTACAGCTCTCAAACCACAGAGGATTAGTCCCAAGCCTTGAAAGCAGGAGTTTCCCTGGATGTATTGCCACATTTGTTGGTGCAAGTGATTTTTTTTTTTTTACTTTTACTTTTTGACAGTTGTCAGACTAGTTTCCAAGTTGTCTGCTTAAGATATATGAGACATTTGTCAGATAAGTAGTGAGGCAGGACATCAGCATGACTTATTTCCCTGCTGATGGGACAAAATGAAGAAACTGGCAGGAACCAGCAGGTGGTGCACAATTGAAGTCAAAAACCCTGCAGGAAGTATCAGGTGGTGCTGAAGGCAACCTTTAATTGCCCTCGCTGCTCATTAGCATAAGAGACTCCCACCAGCCCCATGACAATTCACAAATATCATGGCAACCCAGAAGTTACTGCCCTTTTCCATGGCAATGACCTAGAAGTTACTGCCCCTTTTTCTAGAAAGTTATGAATAACCAGCTCCTCAATTTGCATTAACTCACCTCTTAATTTGCATGTAAGTGAAAGTAGGTATAAGTGGGTATAAATACAGTTGCCAACAACCCATGAGCTGCTACTGCCAACTCCAGGTGCACTGCAAAAGAGTTAGCCCTGCTCAACAAGGAGCAGTCCATTTCAATAAAAGATTGCTGTCTAATAGCACTTTCTTGCCCTTGAATTCTTTTATGTGCGAAGCCAAAAACCCTCCTGGGGTAAGCCCTAATTTGGGGCCTTGCCTGTCTTGAATCAGTCATATTGTTTTCCCTGGGGTGTTATCAAGGGACAGTACTCTGAACTACTGCAATTAAATTTATATCATCATTCAGTCATCTCACAATTGGAAAACATATGCAAATAACTGAAATTTCAAAGAAATATTCCTGGCTAGTAGCATCTCCAAAAGCTGACTTTGGAGAACAGAATCAGAAAGTGAACTGATAAATGTGAGGCATACTTTTAAATCTGGACTTAATGGTATCCTGAGCAAGATTACTAAAATGTTTATGCAGCAATCCAGAATACCCTGCCCCATCACAGGCAATAAGTAGCAAGGCTAAAAATTTTACTTAGTAAAATTGACTAAATATGGATCCTGAAAATATTCATAAGCAGAACAGCAATCCATGTGTTTTTGTGGATTATGGCTATTTGAAGGATAAGTACCAATTCTCCTCTATGTCACACATAGTATCTAGAACAATTTTGAACACGAGTGACAAGTCATTGTTTCTTAGTGAATAAAAAAATTAAGGACAGTGAAATAAGTTTTTCGGAAACTAGCAGGATAGAGACTCTCATCAACATAAACAGAGCCATTCATTTTACCTATTTTCTCTTTCAGATTTTGTAGACCTCCTTTGAGATTTCTATAAGTCTCATCTTGCCTTTTATGATGTTAATCTAAGGCCATTGGTCTTCTTGCTTTATTTTCCTTCCTTGCTTTTATTTTCTTCCTAAATGGCAATTGGAATACATAGGTAGTTGTGGTCATATGACAGCATTCACAAGGTGGGAGGTACCTTATTCTAACAACTGGAAAGTGGAGAAGAATTTTAATTTCTCCCACAAATGAATTTAAATGGGGGCAATAGTTTTCTGAGAAACCCATTAGCTATACTTTTGGTATAATAAAAATAAGCTGCAGTGTCTCGTCACTATCCTCCAAACCACTACTGAAAACAGCAGCATGAAACTTCTATTTCTAGTTTGATTACTGTAAACATGGAAATTATGTATAATTTTAGGCAATTTAGGTAATATGACTATTTAAATGTATATAAAATTATCTCTTTTGGCTGATGGCTGAATTTTTAGAAATGATTTCCTTAAAAGTTGAAAGCTTGGCTGTGCTAGCAGAGGTCTCTCTGGATATTTTGAAGTAATAATGGAGTGTTATGAGTTATCTTTGGCACAGTCCCCTAAGGGTTTTTTAATCTTAGATAAACACTGTGATGATGTATTTTCTTCACAAAAGAACAAAGGAAACATAAACATGATGAATATTTTTTGTTAATCCAAGGCCTATTTCTATAAAAATGGATTCCTTTCCTGTAAAATCAATAGAATATAGGCTCTAATATAGCAAGCTCCCTTCATATGTATTTCCAATCTGTTAAGGGAGAGGCTTGTGTCTTTTTTCCCAAGCAAAGCCAAATAACGTTTAATGAGAGTTCACTTTGGTGATGTTTAATGAAAATTTAACTCAAGTAGAAGCCTCACTGGAATACTCCATGAACAGAAATGTAATCTGGGCAAAACCCTGCAGCCTTTATCCTGGGAAATGTAATAAAAAATCATCAGAATATTGTCTCTATTGCTGAATCAGTAGCCTGGAAATCACTGCAGAAGTTTTACCTATGGGAGGCTATGGGAACCCTCTTGTGTCATGTGCTCTCAAATGTGAATGAGCAGGTCAAGAACTAAGGATATTCAAAAGGTTTAAAATGTCCAAATAGGCAGTTCTGGAAATACCCCAGCATTGTTTGAATATTATATTTGACATGAAATATAAAGGCATATGAAATACTTTGCCCAAGTTCTGTTCCAAGTTCTCTTTCTGACCAGAAATTTTCATCTGACCATTGTTAGAAGTCTGATCCATGCCAGGGAAGTCAGGCAATCCAAATTTTGGCAGACTGAAAGAATGGAGGTTAAAGATATTCCTGAGCATGCTCCTTGAGGGAACCTTATGTCATTCAACTAGCCTGTCCCTAAATGTTACTCCTCAAATTGTCACTACTGCCATCAACATTCAGAATCATGTTTGAAAAGTGTATGCTCTTCTACATATCTCGTATATTCTGCATTGAAAATGACTTTTAGAAATTCATACTTTATAGTAACAGAAAATGCACTAACCAGAAAGATCTTTTGCCAAATTAATACTTCTGTTAGTCTAAATTCTTTTGGTTTTAATCAACAGAAACCCAATTCAAATTAGCTCTCAAGATAAAATACAGAATTTATTGAGAAGATATTAGGGTATATAATGTAATTTAGGATATGTTTGGAAATAAAACTGATTGAAGGGTAAGGCCATAACAATTAGAAACAAGGACTTGACCATTTTTTCTATCCTGCTGGTTTTATTCCCTTTTACTGCAGACCAGCTTCCTTCACATGGAGAAAAATGCACTTATATTTCAAGAGCCTAAAAGTTATTTTAAAACTATTGTAAGTTGATTCATGCCTTTTCTGGTACCAAGTTTGGAAGTACTGGTGGGCTTGTATCAATTCCAAACTAGGGCTAGGAAGCAGGATATTTGTGCTTGTTGGTTTAATAATATGACTGCTCCCATTTGTTTTACTCCAATGGGGCGGAGATATATGCACTCCCTGGAAAAGCGGAGGCAAACGCATATCTGCATGTGTCAGTATTCACCAACACCAATGATTTGAAATTAAGGAAATCACAGTTAACTATTTTTTCATAATTCTTGTATTTTATGTGTCTGTAAATATTACATAAATTTTACTTCACAATCAGGGCAACAGATAGATGGTAGCTCAATTACTTTGAAAATCCAGGCATTTGTCTGTGTAATGCTCATAGGTGACAATGGCAACTCAACATTGATGCAGAAATTTCTGTATACTGCTCAGCACGTTAATGAAAACTGATGCCCAATAGTAAGGGCAAAGTAGACTATCTGGAGTGGTGGTGGCAATTGAGGGTGGTTCTTCTTAAAATGGGAATTAAAATCAGTGAGGCCTGCGACATCTATTTTTTCATCAAAATCTTCCATTGAACATTCATTTTAGCTAGCACAGTAGCCATTAGCATATTTTTAAGTGGATTTTTTTCTTATACACCTAGATGCCCCCTTAATAATATGTTAAAGGAAGAGATGTAATAGCAAAATGACTTAAATACATGAATTCGTTCTTGATCTTTCTATGTTTCTGACTGCAGTAATCATTATTTAACTGACTGGGGCTTTTGATAACTGCATTACTTCTGGTTATCAGCATAGTCACAAAAAAATTAAAATTCTCATAAATTCTGGGACTTTCAGAAGTTGGCACCATACTTACAGCCCCCATTATGAATATTAATGGCTGGAGAACAGCAAATGCCATTTCCTCTAGGGTATAACCATTAGTACCCAATCATCAGTAGTCCTTGTCACTTGTGGCAATGATGGTCATTTTCAAGATAGTATTGATTTGTATACCAAATGATAGAAGAAAGCTAATTACTACTACTTTTAGATTTGGTCTTTCTCTTACCTTTTCCAAAAAACATATTTGATTGATTCCTGACAACCTTCTCACATATAGAAATGCATGTTTTGAAATGGGCCCAGAGATCCCAATGAGTACTACTCCTTCTGTATCTTACTATACAAATGTTTTATGGGTAAAGTCTAGAATTTAAAGGCATCTTTAAAGGATTAATACTTTTGTCTTTCTTAGACTGATCTGGAATACCTTGAGAAGAGCATTACTTCCAGTTATCAGCATAGTCACCAAAAAGTCAAGAAAAATCTACCATGATACATAAATGATGATGCCTCAAACAATTTTAGAAATCTACAGCTACAAATACACAAAATCCCAGAGTCGGTTGTATTTGTGTGTGTGCATTTGCGCCTGTATATTTGTGTGTCTCTGGTGGGTGGCTTTAGTAGACAGTGGCAATAAACTGCAGAGATAAATACCAGAGTAACATTGCTTTTCCAAAACTTTTCCACATTAAGGTTTTTTCTTTAATCTGTGAATGTATGTAATAAAGTTAGCATTAGCAACATACTGTAGAATAGTTTATATTTTCAAATGAAAGGAAATTATTTCTTGCATATGGAACAATCCCAACATTATTGGATTTAGAATTTTCGTGACATTCTGGTCTTGAAGGAGCAGCCCAGGAGAAGGAGCTGTGAAGTAGACATGGTAACTTTTCTCCCAGTGAGATCAGGAAACAATAAAGTTAATAATAGGATCTGACAGGATGAGGGTGAGGTTTTAGTGTGGCAAGTGTGCAAGGGCAGGGTGGTTCCTGTGTTTACTTAAAATTTCATATTGTTTCTCATGGGTGTTTACATTAAATTTTAATTTTTACAATATTGCAACAAATAGTATTTATCTCCAAGTTTTGGGATAATGACTTAAAATTTGCATCTCAGTTACTTGCTTCACCTTTGTCCCAGTTGTTGGTTGTTTCCAACTTGCAAGTTCAAATGACCATCACTATGGTAACAGTGATGGCTACAGCCGTGGAATTCGAGCAAAGAAATCAGAAGCAAGTCCTATTCCAAATACGGAGTGGCAGGAGCAACGGTGGAAGAATACAAAGACATCTCATGAGCTGGAGTCCTGCAGACTGGGAATGGAACAGCACCTGTGTGATCATGATTGTCCAGGAAAATTGTTTATAAGTTTTTCCTCCAGGTGACATGCAGCTAAGTCAGTTGTGCTAATTTTGTTGAGAATTTGTGCATCTATGTTCATGAGAGATGTTGATCTACAATTTTTTTTCTTGTAAAACTCTTGTCAGGGTTTAGTTTCTGGTCTCATCAAATGACCTGGCAATTGTTTCCTCCTCCTCTTCTTTTAAGAAAGAGTTTATGTAAGATAGTTATTATTTCTACTTCATGTATTTTATAGAATTTACTGCAAAACCCAACCGTGAATGACATTTTATTTGTGGGAAGATTTTGAATTGCACACTCAATTTCTTAAATAAATATGCTGCAATTCTAATTTTCTGTTTCCTCTTCTGTCAGCAGCTGGCAGCTTGTGTTTTTTAAGCAAATTTGTCTATTTTATCAAAGATGTTGAATTTATTGTCATAAAGCTATTGATAATATTTCTTTTTCATCTTTCAATATATTTAGAATCTGCAGTGAATGTTTTTCCTCCTTTTGTCTTTATTGGTATTTCTGTCAATGTACCAATTCTATTAATTTTAAAAAACAAACCAATCATTGGTTTTACTGCTTTTCCTATTACTTTCTGTTTTCTTCCTTTTCTCAGAGGAAAAAAAGGCTGGAGTGCAGTGATGCAGTCATAGCTCACTGTGACATCAAACCCCTACCCTCAAGAGATCCTCCTAAGGCCAGGCATGGTGGCTCACACCTGTAATCCTAGCACTTTGGGAGGCTGAGGAGGGTGGATCACCTGAGGTCAGGAGTTTGAGACCAGCCTGGCAAACATAGTGAAACCCCATCTCTACTAACAATACAAAAATTAGCCAGGCGTGGTGGTGGGCGCCTGTAATCCCAGCTACTCGGGAGGCTGAGGCAGGAGAATTGCTTGAACCCTAGGGGTCAGAGGTTGCTGTGAGTCAAGATCGTACCACTTCACTCCAGCCTGGGTGAAAGAGCAAATCTCCATCTCACAAAAAAGAGAGAGAGAGAGAGAGATCCTCCTGCCTCAACCTGCTGAATAGCTAGGACTACAAGTGCATACCACGAAATCCAGCTAATTGTTTTTATTTTTATTTTTGTAGAGACAGTGCCTCACTATATTGCCTAAGTTGGCCTCAAACTTTTGGGCTTAAGCAATCCTCCCACCTCAACCTTCAAAAATGCTGGGATTACACATGTGAGCTACCTTTTCTAGCCTCCTTTTTGTTTCCTATTTTATTGATTTCTGCTCTTCTGTTTTTATTTCCTTTATTCTATGTATTTCGAGTTTAGTTTTCTCTTTTTCTAGCTTCTCTGAAAGCTTAGATCATTGAATCTAAGCCTTTCTTTTCTAACATACTTGAAAATATATAAAAATATAAATTAAAGGTATAAATTTCTTCTTATATATTACTTAAGTCGTATTTCATGAACTTGACTAGTTTGTGTTTTTATTACCATTCAGTTTGAACTATTCTTGTTTGATCCATTGCTTGACTATAATTGTGTTGCTTAATTTCCAAATATCCAAAGGTAACATTTTTGATATCCAAAATAATTATTTTTTGGTCTGGGAGCATACTCTGTATAATTTCAACCCTTTGAGATTTATGAAGTCATTAAAAATTATTTAGCATGTAAGTTACCATGGTGAGTTCCCCATGTGTACTTGAAAGAAATGTGTAATCGACAGTTGTTGGTTGAGTATTCTGTAAATATGAATTAAATCAAGTCACTTGACAATGTTTTTAGATCTTTATTCTTAACATTCTTTCTACATGTTTGGCCAATTACTAGAAGAAGAGTGTTAAATTCTTCAACTGTGATTGTGAGTTTTTGTTTTATAATTATACTTTAAGTTATAGGGTACATGTGCACAACATGCAGGTTTGTTACATAGCTTTACATGTGCCATGTTGGTTTGCTGCACCCATTAACTCATTATTTACATTAGGTATTTCTCCTAATGCTATCCCTCCCCCTGCCCCCCACCCCACGACAGGCCCCTGTGTGTGATGTTCCCCATCTTGTGTCCAAGTGTTCTCACTGTTCAATTCCCACCTATGAGTGAGAACATGCAGTGTTTGGTTTTCTGTCCTTGTGGTAGTTTGCTCAGAATGATGGTTTCCAGCTTCATCCACGTCCCTGCAAAGGATATGAACTTATCCTTTTTATGGCTGCATAGCATTCCATGGTGTACATGTGCCACATTTTCTTAATCCAGTCTATCACTGATGGACATTTGGGTTGGTTCCAAGTTTTTGCTGTTGTAAATAGTGCTGCAATAAACATATGTGTGCATGTGTCTTTATAGTAGCATGATTTATAATCTTTTGGGTATATACCCGGTAATGAGATCACTGGGTCAAATGGTATTTCTAGTTCTAGATCCTTGATGAATAGCCACACTGTCTTCCACAATGGTTGAACTAGTTTACACTCCCACTAACAGTGTAAAAGCGTTCCTATTTCTCCACATCCTCTCTAGCATCTGTTTATTGGGAATTTTTTATTTACTTTCAGTTCCATTATTTTTAAATCTCATGTACTTTAAAGCTCTGTTATTACATGCACAATGGATAGCTTCTTGATGAATTGACACTCATTATTATACAATGTCTCTTTTAGTCTGTAGTTACTCTGTCTGATATTTATATAGTCAGTCTACATGTCTTATGCTTAAGGTTTGTGTGATATATTTTTTCATTCTTTTACTTTCAACCTTTATTTATATTAAAAGCATCTTTTTAAAACAACATAACATTAAGTCTTGCATTTTATCCAATGTTAATATGTTTGCTTTTTAATTGGAGAGTGTATTCCATTTGTATGTAATTATTCATAACATGATTGTCTCTATTGAAATTTTATTCACACTCTCCATTTTCATTCCTATATTCCTCATTTTCTGGTTTCTTTTGAAATCCTTTTTTCCTCATTTTCTGTTCTCTTTTACTTGATTAGATATTTTTCATATTCCATTTTATATCCTTATTTGAATTTTTAGCTACAACAATTTCAGAAATATTTTTTCTAAGAATGACAATATATGGCCTTTTCTTATCATGGTCTACCTTCAATTACTATTATACTACTTAAGTTACAATATAAAAAACTTCCAATTATGTAATCCTCATTCTGTTGCCATGACATAGATGGATCAGCACAAGACACAGGACAAATACTTGAGAATTCATACGGTGGAAAACCTCTATGAAAATAATCAAATTTGAAAATCTCTCAAAAAGATCTTGATATCTACTCCGTAGAAAATACCCCAAATTGGAGACAAATATAATGAGAGTAATAAACATGAAAAGATCTCAGCCAGATTTCAAATCTAAATGTGCACTAGAGAACTCATGCTGCAGGGAAATTACATGAATTCAGTGAATGCAAGAAAGTCTTCACTGACCTTTCACTTGTTAAAATACACACAGCATCACACACTGGACACATACCCTATCAAAGTAAGGAATATAGGTAACCCTTTATGTGTTCCTTGTATTTTAGGAATCATGAAGAATTTCACACTGGAGAAGAATACTATGAATAGACATGTAAGCAAACCTTTGTTCATTCTTCATTTACTGATGTACATGTAAGAACTCACAGTGGGCTGGGCACGGTGGCTCATGCCTGTAATTCCAGCACTCTGGGAGGCCGAGGCGGGTAGATCACCTGAGGTTAGGAATTCAAGACCAGCCTTACCAATATGGTGAAACCCCATCTCTACTAAAAATACAAAAATTAGCCAGGTGTGGTGATGTGCACCTGTAATCCCACCTACTCTGGAGGCTGAGACAGGAGAATTACTTAAACCCAGGAGGTAGAGGTTGCAGTAAGCCAGGATCATGCCACTGCACTCCAGCCTGGGTGACAGAGTGAGACTCCATCTCAAAAAAAAAAAAAAAAAAAAAAAGAACTCACAGTGGACAGTGGAGATAAGCCTTATGAAATAAGAAATGTGAAAAAGCTTTCAATTTTCTTTAATCTTTTAGAAAACCTGTGAAAACTCTCATTGAAAAGAAATTTTATTAACATAAAACTGTGGAAAAACCTTAAGTTGCCCCTAATGCTTTAGCGCATATGTGATAACTCATATTGTAATTTACCCTATGGATATAAAAGAATGTGAAATAGTCTTGATTTCTTCCACATCTCTTACTGTACATGTAAGAACTAACATTGGAGAGAGGATTTGTGAATACAGAGAATGAAGAAAAGCCTTCATTTATTCCTCAAAACTTCATGTTCAAATGAGAATAAACCAAAAAGGAGCTTTACACATGTAAGAAAGATGGGCAAGTATACAGTTTGCCCTCCTCTTTTAATAGAAATGTAAGAACAAACACTGAAGACAGCCTCTATAATTGTAAACAACATGAAAAATCCTTCGTTTATTCTTCGTATTTTACCATTCATGTGATAAAACACATTGGAGAAACATTGTGTGATGATTAATTTTATGGGTCAATTTGACTGGGTTAAGGATACCCAGGTAGCTGGTAAAGCATTATTTTTGGATATATCTGTGAGGGTGGTTCAGAAGAGATTGACGTTTGAATCAGTGGGTTGAGTAAGGAAGACCAGGCCTCATCCAGTATGGCTGGGCACCATTTAGTCAGTCGAGGGCCTAGACAGAACAAAAAGTCATAGGAAAGGTGATTTTGCTCCCCTTTCTGGTACTGATACACCCTCTTTTCTTGTCCTTGGATATAAGAAGTCTAGGTTCTCTGGTCTTTGTATTCTGGGACTTATGCTAGTGGCCCTCCAGGTTCTTGGGCCTTCAGACTTGAACTGAGCTATGCCACTAGCTTCCCTTGTTCTCCAGTTAGCAGATGGCATATTATGGGACTTCTCAGCCTCTATAATCATGTAAGCTGATTCTCATAATAAATTCTCTCTATCTATCCATCTATCTATCTTCTAATAGTTCTGTTTCTCTGGAGAACCCTGACTAATAAACACACTGAATGTATGAAATGCAGAAATGTCTTCAGCTATTCCTCATCCCTAACAAAACAGTGTGAGAACTCACACTGGAGAGAAATTCTATTAGTATAAGGAGTGTAGGAAAATCTTATCCTGGGTCTAATTTTTTCAAATTGAGGTAAAATTCATATTAAAGAGGAACCACATAAGTGCAAGAAATGTAGGAAAATGTAATCCCTCACACTTTAGTATGCATGTGAGAACACATACTGAAAAGAAATAAATGCATAGAATATGAGAAAACTTTCAAGTCTTTTTCATGCCTTAGTCAGCAAGTGAGAACTCATACTGGGAGATATGACTGCAAAGAATGTGGAAAATCCTTTAGTTTTTTTCCTCATATTTTCAAAGACATGTGAA